GGAACCGCTCGAAGCCGCGTACCTCATACATGATTTCCTTCTCTGCGGTAGCATCGGCGAGTAAGCTTTTTACCAGCTCACATTGCCGCCGGGCATTTTGGAGCTCAAGTCGCGTCTTTTCGAGCTCCGCCGATCTCTGCAACCATGCTGGTGAGCTTGCGCGACGGATGCAAATAATGATAATTAGACGCACGTCTTGGAAATCTTCCGCCAGCTGTTGGATGCCGTTTTCCAGAGCTTCGTGGTTGGACGAGGCACGTATCAGGCCCGAATCCGCTTCATTCACCAATGTGGTCAATGAGCGGTGGATATCCTCTGTCCGATTTGAACCGGATGCTTGCGCGGGAGTGTCTGATGCCATGCTTGAAGGGCGATTGCGAGGAGTGCCCTCGCCTTGCCGCTGACTTATCAGCTGCCGCATCTCTTCCATTCGCTCGAGAGCTGCTGGGGTCTGAAATAATCCATCAGGTTATAATCTGTGTTGCGAGTATGACGCTCACCATGGGAGCTCCGCGCTGAGGGGTGCGCAATGCTTTGCTGGGTGAAGCCGGCCGGACAATTTCGTCGGGGCCGCATTCCGACCGCAGCCCGTCAATTTCGAGCCTCATACGCTTAATGGCTCGGTGAGACGACTCGACCTGGGAACTGTCTGCAATGTTTCTTTTTGGGAAAAATCGACACCTACGTCTTCCTTCGTCATCTTGGACAGCTGGATTAACCGCTGTGGCGGTTCGTTCTTGGACGGACTCCGCATTGAAGACGCTCTAGTACTGCGTACTTGAGGCGAAACCCTACGCGGAGAACCAACAGTTCGTGCCCGTGATAGTGGCGAGCCCCGAGATGGGGTTTTCGCGACACCTCGGTCGTTGAAGATGGTTCTGTGGCGCGCACCGAAGTTTTCTTCTTGATAGACAACGGTTCAACACCGCTCGGAGTGGGGCGCTGGTAACGGGTGGTTTGGGGGTTGCATCTATATTACCAGCGGGGAAGAAGGGTTGACGTTTACTCCGCGGGATGCCCGTAGCTCGAACAGGAGCTGAGCGCTGGATTCTGACGGCATTTTCGAGAGCGAGGTCGTCATCCATGGAGGGCAGTTCAGGCGTGGAAGCCTCTGCGTGCAGACTCTTCGCGGGAGGAAGCGGGGAAGGGCTTCTCGGTCCTAAAGGACGCCTCTCAGAAGAATGCTGCGACAACGATCGAGATTGCCGTGGAGGGGATGCTATCGGAGGATTTGAGTTAGAGTCAGACCGAGGGGTTGCGGAGCTACGACTATTCGTGTCCCTGGAGGTACGTGAAAGCGGTCGTCGAGGGGGATCGTCTACATTGAAGAATTTCGCGCAACTTCTAATAAAGTAAGTCGGCAACATACCTTCGTATATCGTTGCCTCCGAAGGGTTCTGCAGAGGAACATGGTTGAACGGCTTGCCGTGTTGGTTTTTGCTGTTCTTTCTGGCCAACGCCAACTGCAAGGCGAGGTCTCGTTCGGTAGCATCCATATCCCGGACATGGCCAGAATCGTGCCGTCATCATCCTCAATGTCACTATAGTCAAGCTCCCGATCTCTGGAAGTTGAGCGAGAGGCACTTCTGGAGCCATTTCTCGATAAGCTGCGACTCGGTGGCCGGCTCTCTGGCTCTGGAGTGCCACCAGGGGATCGGCTCTTCCTGAGAACATTTCTTGACCGCGACGTCGAAGAAGACCTAGTACGCAACGATGACTCGTCGTCCATGGACATCATGGTGGTCGCAGTCGAGTTTGACCGATGCGAAAACTTGGTCAGGCTTCCATCCCCAGTCGTAGTGCTTTGGGTATACGTGGATGTGCGGCTAGCTGTAGATTTGGTGCGTCGGTGGCTATTGACGGACCCTCCGAAAAAGTCGCCCATGGACGACCCCGGACGTGAATTGAAGAGATTTCTGGAGATGGCATCCAAACCGAAGATCGCTGCCTTTGAGCGGGCAGTCGGAGTCGACGGCGCAGAATTCCTACCGGTCCGGAACTCAAACAAACCGAATTGGTGGACTGGGAAAAAAAACATGAAATAAGTAGCGCGTTCAAAGGGGGTCAGCACCTACTTGTAAGCACTATCCGAGACGGCACCCTCTTAGTCTGGACAATATCCTCTTCGCCCAGGTCAGAAGGGTCACTCGAGGAGACTTTATAACGACAGACGCCGCCTGCTAGAGGTTGCAGTCGAATGATCGCGAACGGTGGTGCTCCGATGCCGAATGGAATCTTATCCGCTGAGCCCAGCGCATCAATGTGGACCACAATTTTGGTCTGCCACAAAAATCATTATGCGATCTCTCAAGACAACATGGTTGTTTACCTTTTTCGGCTCCTGGAGAAAAGCTGTTCGCTGGTAAACATTGTAGTAAGTGCGAGCGATGGTGAGCCGGCCGCTCTTCGACTCCACTTCCATCTCCTCCGCGCGCAGAACAACCGACTGGCCGGCCCGCGCGCGGTATGCCGCCTGAACGTTCCAAAGATTCTCCAGGAACCTCTGCTTGTCCAACTCCGTTTGCACAGGATTCAGGTTGATAGGTGCAGGGGGCTGAACCACGGCCAAGGATCGGAAAGCGCGGCCGGACCACCGCTCATTCTGATCTACGGGAGGATTCTCCAAATACAAGTTGATGTCTTGCAAGGTCGGCTTTAGACTCGAATACAAAAGGGAAATGGGTCTTACCTGCGCCACCAACATCAGTGGCAACAACTTCAGTTACATCAACGACTCCTTTGCAGGTCATTCCGCTCTTTTTCTTGCCACTCGGCCGCCCTCCGTCTTTGCCAGTTTATCAAGCTCGTCGAGACCGGCAAGAGCGCGGCCACCCTTCTCGCCGTTTCCAGGACGTTTGACGATGAGAAGTTTGTCATCAAAAAGAAACAGGGTGCAATGCAGTGAACCTGCAGATGAGCTGTTAACTGATGCAGTCGACGAAGTGGGGGCGTCCGATAGAATGTCCTCAACGTCGATGCAATCAATGAAGCGCCGCGAGTTTGAAAACAAGTCGGGTGGGAAGCCATCAATTGTTGCGCTGAGGCAATAAAATATGGCAGCTCGTTTAGTTTCTTCATCTGGTTCTGCCAACGCGATCTTGCTGGCAAGCTCGTCCGCTTCAACCAGTTTAGCACGTTGCGGATCATTGGGAGCCATCTGCTTGATCATCGTCCGAAACATAAGGGTGTATTGAGGTATTCGTTGCACCGGGTTTATGAGAAGCTCGCGAAGTCCGACGCGATTTCTCGATTCCGAAGCTTGATATTTGATCCGCTAGGTGAGCAAGTATGAGGGGTTTGAACCAAGGAACAGAGCTTAGTGACGCACGTCGATGTAGGCAGCGAATGGTGACGACTTTCTTGACATCTCCCGCTCAAAGATCAACTGTGCATCCTCGCGTTTGACATAGTATTGTTTATACTGTTCAAAGCCCCGCAGCTCCTTGAAGTGGCGCAGGGCAACATCCCCTACACCGCCCACCGTCTTCGCACCATTGGGAGCCAGCATCGTCTCTAAATCCGCCAAGAAGGCCTCATTGACGGGAAGGAGATTATCCACGTTTCCAAAAAGCGTTTTGGCCTCATAGGCGGGGATAATAGATGTGTTTTTGCTTCTCGCAAAGTTGCGTAAAGGGTCCGCGTAGTCGTTCTTCAACGACCTCAGGCGCTTCACGTACGACCGTTCTGTTTCCACTAATTCGTTGACGGTCGAGGCGAGCGCCGAGGAGTCTGTAAGAGCGCGTTTCCTTTGGCCGACGCGTTCCTGAGGATTAAATTAGGACATAATATCATAGGGGATTCATTGGACACAGCAGGCGAGTAGAATTCGCGGGATACGGTACCCACACCTGGACCGAGTGGGGATGGAACCACTGCAAGCTCTGGATGCAGTGCTGATAGGAGGTGGAATGTAGAATACTTACGGGATCGCCTGTGCTAGAATTCTGTGGAGACGAGAGAATGCTGGGGTCTGAGCTGGAGGCCACTGTGTCTCCCAGTGATAGAACGAGGTCCTGGATGTCTGATACAGAAACGAAGTTAGTGGGAGGACTGAATATTCCGGAATTCGTGCCTTCAGGAAGTCTTCTCCCATTCTCGGAGCCTTCTACTACGACTCCGCAGAAGAAAACGCGTTTCGTGTGGCCCGGAGCAGACGACTCGCAGCGCGACCGAGTCTCATCACCTGTGGAGAGAGGTATTATTTTGCGCGGGGACGAGCTGAGAGCCATGGGTGCCACAGGGGCGAGGACTTAGTAGGGAATAACGAGTATAAGCCTCTTGAAGGCTCTTCGACGAATCGATGGAAGTTCAACAAGGGTACGACACGATCACGTGTCCCTTTGTCCGCCATCATCGCGACCAACTTTCCTGTTCTCAACAACGACTTTGCGGAGGAGCTCTTCGTCTTTTGCGGTCTGCATAGCTTTGTCTTTCTCGATGAGATGGGCTGCCTGGGCCAAGTTGGAATGCACAACCTCGGCTGCAAGAGGCCCAAGGACGTTGATTTCTGTTAAGTCCTGTTAAATCCGCCACTGGAGCAGCGCTGCAGCGGAGCTTCCCTCTAATGCCACCTGTAATTAATGGGTCTCGATTATATCATGCACTGCTGCTCTGGCTCTGCATCTGGAACGACGCACTTGCTTTCGACTGCAGTGAACCGTCACCATTCATTCAGTCCATTCTTAATCTGCCCATTCTTTCTTGTCGTTTTGAGCGGATGAAGTTATAAGTTAGCACTTCACCCCGCTACTCGATACCGATACCTGGTCTATTAGACTATTCAACTGGTTACTAGTATGTTACTGCATAGTTAGCTTGTTAGCTATCGTTATATATCTTACAGTAATAAAATTTCCTGAAGGGCAGTTTCTTCCTCCAAATCAGACCTCCAGGAGACGACGGAACCCTTTGTTGAGCAACTTGAGCCCAAAAGTTCGTCAATTGGATCGCGCTGCGGTAGGCCGCTCTATGTGACAGTACCATAATCGAATAACACTGTCGTCTGCGTCGCTTAGTGGTTAAAGCGCTTCGTTGTGGCGTAAGCCTCCTCGAAGAGGGAAGTTTTCTTTCCGAAGAGCCGCGTGTTCGATTCACGCCGCGGACACGTTTTTATCTTTTTTCTCCCTCTTTTTTCTTTTTGTCCCCTAAAGGCTAAAGGCCGTCAGAGTTTTGACTCATGTTGCGTCTGAGTCCCTATTCTTATTGACTCCTGAATGGCATATATAGCCACCAGCATTAAGGCTGCTGCGTCTTTTGGTTCTCGACGATCTTTCAAACCCTTACCAAAAAATTCCTTCAACAATTTGAAGTCGAAGATCATGCCCTCAACCAAGCCCTCAAGGACAACGCCTCTCGATGTACAGCTAACTTTTCTCGGAACCGCTTCTGCCCAGCCGTCGTCGACGCGAATCCACTCATCCCTCGCTCTGCGACTCGGAGCTGATGTCTGGCTCTTTGACTGTGGAGGTATGACCGTTTTCAGGTGCGAAAAATATTGTGCATTGAACTTGTCGTCCTTTTCAGAGGGAACGCAGCAGCGTTTACAGCAGAGTATAGTACGAATGGGAAGGATAGAAAAAATATTTATCACGCATACTCACGGTGTGTTTTTTTACCCATCTTAGTTATCCACAAACCCTTATTACTGCAGGGGACCACATCTTTGGGCTCCTCCCCCTCCTTGCGGGCGTTCTCAATGGTGCTGGCGGAGCTGCGGACGACGCGGAGGATCCAAGAGAGCACATCGACGTGAACAATCCGGTAAGGATACACACAAAAACTGATTCCGAGTAATTCTCACAAATTTCAGGTCATAGAAATCTATGGACCACTAGGGACGCGCGCATTCGTGCGCACAGGCCTAAAGTACACGCACACGCACTTCAGCCGCCCGTACGTGGTGCACGAGTTGCGGCTGCCAAGGGACCCACAATCTGGCGATTATTGTGCTCTCCCTCGCCATTCCGCAGAATCGCCCTCTGGCCGGAACATCTTCCAAGTCGGCGGGGTGTGGGAGAACATCTACGAAGACAACGCAGTCTCGGTCTCCGCTGGGCCCATTCTGCATTCTGTTGCCTGTGTGGGCTATGTTGTCAACGAAGCGACTCTCCCGGCAAGATCGACCCCAAGAAATATATCCCCGAGCTCAAACGGACGAATACGCCAATGTCGGTGATGAGCCGGCTGCAGCAAGGCGAGAGCGTCGAGCTCAGCGACGGGACTGTCCTCCACGGGCCTACTCGGCGGCGCGGACGAAAAATAGTCATTTTAGGCGACACGCACAACCCTTCGGGGATCGAACCTTTGGCGCTCGACGCGGACTTGCTGATCCACGAGGCGACGAATGCGCATTTGCCTGACGTAGACGAGGACACGAAAGACACGGACACCTATGAGAGCATCGAGGAGCGGACGAAATCCAGAGGTCACTCAACGCCGCAGATGGCAGGCGCTTTCGCAAAGCGCATACGAGCGAAGCAGCTCATCTTGAATCACTTTTCCGCTAAATACGCGGGGAATGACCATGTAGATCCCGCTGCGAAGCTAGTCATGGACGCAATTGGGGGTCTGGCAGCTGGGGTGTTTGGCAAGGAAGTATTATGTGCTCGAGACTTGATGAGCGTCACCGTCAATGTACCAGAAACATAATACATTCAGTCGTCGTCTGGAGGTTCAGACAACACGCTACTATCGTCGCTGGGTTCACTGGCTTCCCCTTCTTCAAGCTCCTCATCCCTCTTCTTTTTGCCCTTCAAGCTGTTCTTGGGTTCCTCCTCGACCTCGCCCATCTCAATATCGTCTTCGACCTCCTCCTCTTCAGCTGGCACGATGGATTCGAGCAAGATTTCTTCTTCTCCCTCCTCGACCTCCATCTTCTCCGGTACTGCAGTCTCACCTTCGGCGGGAGCCGTCGTGGCGTCGCCCGCTTCAGGGCCGGGGGTGTCCCTCGGAGAGAGGTCAGACGAGGCCGCAGCCTCCCTGTCCTTGCCCAAGAATCTCAGCGATCCCAAGTCCGTCACGATGGCATCCAGCGCTGCCTTCTGTGCTTGGATTGTGCGATTTTGGGTGTCGTGTTCCGCACGTATAGCAGCCATGTCGTTCTCGAGAGATTTAATAGTCCTGTATTAGACGTCCTTGAATTTAAGTCCATGAAATGTGCAGAAATAACACACTGCTCGAGCTCCTCGCGGGTCGGGAGAGTATTGACCTTCTCCGCCACAAAGTCGTACTCCATCTTCCTCCGCCGCAGCATCTGCTCGTGTTCCAGCCCCGTCTTGAGCTGCTCTATTTGCCCACGCAGCGTCCCATGCTCATCGTCTGCGTGCGTATAGTCAACCGAGCACTATGGCTGTAAGTAGAAATAACGCACTGATTCGCTCCTTCTCGCGCTGATATTCCTCCACCTGCCGTGCCTCCGCCTCGCATATCATCACGCTCTTCCTCAGCATCAACTGGAACGACTCCAGCTCCACTAAAAAAGCCTCCCTTGCATCGTCGACGGACGTGGGCGCCGACGTGGCCCCTGGCGCTGGAACGGGCGTGACCACAGGCGTATGGGACAGCGCGGTGTAGTTGTGGAACTTTTTTATGACACGACGGAGCGGGCGCTCGTCATTAGTTATGCGGGCGAGTATAATTTGGTCTGGAGAATTGTTTCATATTTATATGTGCGACTGAAACCGACGTGAAAAGTTGACCTTCTTCTTCTGTGGTCAGCGGCAGGAATGCGAGGGGCTGCTGCAGGGCAGGCGCGTCAGACGGAGGCATCGATGTCGAGGGTGCAGCCTCAGCTTGTGCTGTGGCTTTGAAAAGGGCACGCGCAGGCTTCAATCGATCGGAGAGTTGAGAGAGGAAGCTCATGTCCAGTTTGGGAACGATTGATCTCCTTACAGAAATTACAGTAGCGTGTACACTTCTATGTAGAATTAGATATTAACGATACATACATGCTTATGGCCCCCAGTCGTCCAGTACAAACGGTGTAACCAGCTCATAAGTGTCCTCGTTCCCACCTTTGCCCTTCTTTGACTTATCCTTGCGCCCCCCGCGTCCAATCACCTTTTTAAACAGTCCCCCCACTCGGCTCCGTTCGCTGTCCTCACCGCCGGGCTCAACATTCACAGGATAACACGTCTCCACCATCTTCGCAAGCTTCCGCATCCCGCTGCTGCTGTCGCTCATGTATTTTCGTGACTCTTCCAGGGCAGCCTGGAGGTACATCGCCATGTTGGGGAAGGTGATAGGGAGGGAGGGGAAGGGGACAGAATTGCTGGAAGGAATCGTGTAGCATTTGGACAATAGTGTGTCCGAGCCATCGCGAAGCAGCGCCGGAAGACTGGAGAGGGTGTACGACCACGGAAGAACATCCACATCGCCGTTGGTGTACTTTCTTGCATTAGGCATGGAAGTAGGCACGGGGTGGTCAATGGTGAACCAAAGCACAGCTCGCCAATCTGAGGAAGCATGGTGCGTCTAGACAGAGTTAGCCCAACGAGGAAAGTCAAATTTTAGGTGCGTACCCGAACGAACTGGACTACAGTTCGGAGATGCATCTGCGAAGACCTTGTTACCGCCAATGCCTCCACTGTCGGTTCAATTCTGGTTCCGCTTAACCGAGCCATCAGCTTCAGAAGATGTCGCCAAGTGGGCGCTTGGAGATGAAGTGGTGGGCATCGCCCATACGGCAACGATATTATGTTAGGCATCGAGCCTACCATAGGCACCAGCTCTGGCGTTATTGATGGTGCTACGAATCCAATGGCTGAGATAGAGAGAAAAGGCTATTAAATCAACATAACGGACAATAAGAAATAACTTACAGACACCACGCAAAAGATCGTTGTCGACGAATTGGTTGGCGCCCATCGGCCGCCCATCGCTGTCTTCGCTAAGGGACGCAGATGATGCGACTCGAACGCTCTCGGGTGGGTAGAGGAGTCCCGAAGGCGAGCGAAAGTTGGTGGCATCTACGCTGGCGGGACGTCCAGCCTCTATCAATAGTATAGGACTTTCCTGCGGATCGACCCATGTCAGTTCTGTTCCCCCGGATTTCATCCTCAGAGAAAAATCTGTTAGCTCTGGGCTCGTGTCGATTAAAGGAGAGGTTTGGAGTACAGAGGCAGCTCGGGGGGATCCTGAGGCGGCTCTTCCTTCGACTCCCGCGCCAAGACCTCCTCCTCAAGAGCGAGTGACGTGCGAGCTCCTCGTCGGCCGCTAACGGCTCGGCTGGCAAGGCGGCGGGAGGCCCGCGCGGTGAGTAAACGGGTAGATCGCCGCTATCAGACGGCGGAGAACCAACAGCAGCCAGCGACTTGTCCGGCGCCTCTGACTTTTGGACCGGCGGAAATCCATTCACGGCCCCATTTGGTATAAACGAGGTCTGTGTCGGGGTGGGCTCCTCCTGCTCCTGAGCCGCGAGTAAACGGGCAAACGCCGCGTCGTCCATGTAGTCGAGTCCGGGAACTCAGTGGCCAACGGCGTCAATGCCTGGCTCGACGACCCTGCTGCGGTGGTGCTGGTTTCCCAAGCGCGACGAATACGAGTTGTCGTGCCATGAGGACATGGACATGGACGCCTCCAGCGCGCGCGCAAGATCAGCCTCCTCTTGGCTGAGCATCTTCTGCTGGAGTTTCTCTTGCCTGAGGGTTTCTGCTTGCGACATTGCAAGCACCGCAGCAAGCTCGGCGAGCTCAGCATCGTCCTCCTGCGGGGGTTCGACTGGCGGTCTTGGGTTTGTTCTGGTTCCGATTCTGGATCGGATCGGGATCTGGTTCAGGCTCTGCTTCTGTTTCTTCGCCCAGGGCGCAGAGATCAGCTGCGGATCGCTGGCGGGCGGGGCGGTCGTGACGCAAGATTAACCAAGGGGGGTTTTGGGGGGATCGGTGGGCGGTGTTTTGAGGAGGAGGATGCGTAGCTGTATGGATGAGGGGGAACAGGTGGAGGAGCAGTCTTAGAGCGTCTTAGATTTGGTGTAACGTAGTCTTGAGGGTATGGTAGCCGCGGGGGTATAGGAGCTGTCGGGAGCGGTGGGGGGGGTATTGGCGCGACCGGCGCACCCATGAACAAGACATCGGGATTGTGGATCGCTGAGGGGGCGGTCGCAGC